TCAACGCGAAATGGAAGTTCAGAAAATCATACATTTGCAAAGGTTGGCAAACCAGTTACCTGATGCGTTCACAGATACGAGAAGAGTGACAAAATCATATATCCCCGCTGATAATGCTCCATCAAAAATAAATGTTCCAGAACCAGTTATTGATGGGAATAAAGCAAATGAACCGCGGGTTCAGTTAAAGCGCGGGAGGCCGATGGGCTCGAAGGATAAAAATCCTCGAAAGAAAAAGAAATTGGGAGACAAGGTTCCAGAAGAACCGAATAAAGAAAAATGTCTTGAAGACATTGGTGAAGAGGTTTCAGAAGAACCAATTAAAGAAGTTCGTCTCGAAAACGAACATGATACTGAAAAGTATGAGATTTCCATTAACTTCGCCCAAAGTGGGACATTATGGGCTAGAAGCGAGATAAATGATACAAATGGAATTTTCTCCTTTTCGGTATCTAAAGAAATTGAAAATGAAAATGATGATCCAGACCCAAGGTCCGTGTCAGAATGTCAGAAAAGGTCTGACTGGGAGAAATGGCAGATTGCCATGAAAAATGAATTAATCTCCCTGAATAAAAAAAATGTCTTTGGACCTATAGTCATTACACCAGAAGATGTAATGCCAGTCGGGTGCAAATGGGTCTTTGTGAGAAAAAGAAATGAGAAAAACGAGGTCACAAGATATAAAGCCCGACTTGTGGCACAAGGTTTTTCTCAAAGACCGGGAATTGATTATGAAGATACATATTCCCCGGTCATGGATGCAATCACATTCAGGTACTTAATGAGCCTAACGGCATCTAAAAATCTAGAAATGTACCTTATGGATGTTGTGACTGCATATTTATATGGATCACTTGATAGTGATATATATATGAAAATTCCAGAGGGAGTAAAGATCCCAGAAGGATCAAAGATGCCTGAAGTATCTAAAGACATATGTTCGGTCAAACTACAGCGATCACTTTACGGATTAAAACAGTCTGGACGCATGTGGTATAATCGCTTAAGTGAATATTTGTTGAGTAAAGGATACATCAACAATGCGATATGCCCTTGCGTATTTATTAAGAAATCCTCATCAGGATTTGTGATTATTGCTGTATATGTCGATGACCTGAACATAATCGGAACTCAAAAGGAGATTGATGATGCAAGAACTCACATGAAAGAAGAGTTCGAAATGAAAGATCTTGGAAAGACAAAATTTTGTCTAGGGCTCCAGATTGAGCATTTCCAAGATGGAATATTTGTGCATCAATCAAATTACACCAAAAGGGTGTTGAAACGCTTTAAAATGGATAAAGCAACTCCTTTGAGTACTCCAATGGTCAATAGATCACTTGATATTAACAAGGATCCATTTCGACCTTGTGAAGATAGCGAAAATGTATTAGGTCCTGAAGTACCTTATATGAGCGCTATCGGTGGGCTTATGTATCTTGCAAATTGTACTCGACCAGATATAGCCTTTGCTACTAATCTACTTGCAAGATACAGCTCATCTCCTACGCGCAGACATTGGAATGGGATAAAACATATTTTTCGTTATCTCCAAGGTACGATTGATCTGGGTTTATTTTATCATAGAAACCCCGAAGTTGGTCTAGTTGGTTTTGCAGATGCAGGATATTTATCAGATCCGCATAAAGCTCGATCACAAACTGGATATGTTTTCACAATTGGTGGAACGGCGATCTCATGGCGTTCTCAAAAACAGACTTTGGTCGCCACTTCTTCAAATTATGCGGAAATCATTGCTCTTCATGAAGCATGTAGAGAATGCATATGGCTCAGATCCATGACTCAACATATACAAGGTGCAAGTGGAATAGTCATCAATACGGAACCAACAAAAGTATTTGAAGATAATGCTGCATGTGTCGCTCAACTAAAAGAAGGTTATATCAAGAGTGACAGAACAAAACATATTCCTCCAAGATTTTTCTCTTATACACAAGAACTCGAGAAGAATCAAGAAGTCGATATCCAGTATGTTCGTTCATGTGAAAATGCGGTGGACCTCTTTACAAAGGCGCTTCCTACTACAATATTCAGAAAGCATATTCAAAGTATCGGAATGCGTCATTTGCGGGATTTATGAAGAGAACGTTATTCCATCATTTCAGGGAGAGATTACGTTACTATACTCTTTTTCCCTTGTCATGGTTTTTATCCCATTGGATTTTTCCATGATAAGGTTTTTATCAAGGTAGTACGTAATACATTAACGATGATAGATAATTAAGGGGAGTGTTAAAGAGGATAATTATCCTCATATTTTCACCACCTTACACTTGTGGATAAGTTTCACTTTTACCGATTTGCTAATATTTTACTCTTTTCTTGTATCTATAAATAGACACTTCATATGGTGTAACAATTATTCTACACACAAGTGAAATAATCAAACACTTTTTTTCCTTCTCTCGCTTACATCTCTTCTCTCTCAAACAAATATATATAATATTATCATATATATACATACAAACACATATATACATAAACACACATATATCCTCACCTATATATCATATAATATATAACAGATACACGTTTTTTTTGTTTGGATCAAGCAAACAAAAACGTACGTATCGATCGACCTGTGATGTTTTAATATTTTTAATAAATAAAGGGTTATATAATATTTAATGCACTAAAATAATGATAAAGTTTAATAGCACAGCTGGTTCCCCACTGCATTTGCCACCTATAAAGTCGGAAGTTTGATTTCTTGCAGTGACCATTTCAACTTTTTTTTTTTTGCAGATGTACGGTTAAGTATTAAACCATGAATAATAATCTCCACTAATGTACTCAACACAAACATGAATCTGTCATTTTTCCATTTTGGTTATCTTTTTTTGTATTGGTTGCTTTGAACATTATGTTATGATGAATTCCTTGTGAGTGAAGTAATTGAATAAGACAATCATAATATAATTGGAAGGAAATAACCTTAAAGATAAGTATGTTATAACAAAAATCCTACATAACCTTAAACCATGTGTTAACTAAAAAATAAACCAATTTCTTGAACGTAAGAAAGCAGGAAAAAATCAGTTAGAGTTCTATAAACTCCATCTCCGATGATGTAGGCCGCGTAGGTTCGTATCGTGACATTCGTTCAATGAGTATGGGATCCCTTGCTGCTTTCAAAAGATCCCATGCAATCTTGATCCAAAAAGACAAATGGTTTGGGAAATTGTCCTAAATTTTTAATTTTCTCTTCTTTTTTTTTGTGTGTGTTGAAATGTGATTTTTATTGATGAACAAAAAATGATATATGTACATCAAAATCAAAATAAAGTCCATGGGCTGATAAAGAAATTCTCATATATAATTTTTTTTTTTCCAGGGTCCCTTAATTTTTTTTTTCAAAGAACAAAAAAAATATTTTTTTTTTTGCCCCCCCCCCCCCCCCCTTTTTGTTGAAATGTGAAATTTACAGAACAATAAAGAACATCAATATTTGCAATGCTGGAAAATTGAGTTTCGGAAGTTTACAAGATTGGAAAACTAGAGCAGGAATTACGATGCTCAAAACAGAGCAACTTGGCTACAAAAGACAGAGGCTATGCAGATATCCGCTTGTATGAAGAGATTGTAATAATAACAAATTTTTAAAAAAGATAACGTGAAAAGAAAACTTTTTCTTTGTTAAAACAAACATGACTCTTTTTTTTTCAAATTTAATGGCTTATAAAAATTTGTAAAAAAACTTATATATGGGTTTATGAGTTATGAAATAATAAAGTTACCATTTTCACAATCTCCAATATATTAAAGTGGAGGCACTATTGGACACTTGGCAGCTCTCGGATTAAAGTTGGTATTTAGCTACATTATTAATTCGTAAGATTTTAATTATCCTACTATCTCTATTGCCAAACAGACCGTTATTTCCTAAAACACGTTTAACTGCAATAAATTTTTCAAATATTTACGCATATTCTACATTAAATTCCACCGTTCCTATAATTTCGAAAGATGAATATTTTCTTAGAGGTATTTCCTAAATAACTAATAACAATATTTTAAACTTCAAACGGATTAAGTAAGTATCTATATTTTCGCATATTCTACATTGAATTTTTTGGTTCCTATATTTTCGAAACGTAGATATTTTCCTAGATAAATGTTTTTCAAACTTTCTTTAACAATAATTTAAACTTTCAACGGATTAAGTAAGTATCTATATATTTACGCATTTCTAAATTTTAAAACCTCAACCTAAATCTTTTGAAATTTTAAAACAACTAATATACATCCATATTGGTTACTCAAATTGCGGAAGATATATATTTATTCCTAAACGAAAATAACCGCGATCCTTGGATTATATTAACAAGAAGAATGTTCTAAATTTGAAATATTTAACCTAGCTCTACCATGTTCTCTCAATACCGTATATATATATAGGTGTACGTTTCTCCAATAGTTCATCCTCCCTCACCTTTCAATAAATTTCTGAATATCAAATTTCATCTTGCTATGTCTTCTTTCACCGATCTCTATTCCGTGAAGCCCTTCAAAACTCAATGGAGAGTTTACGTGAAGATATTGAAGGTGTGGAAACAATATTTGAATGGTGTAGAGACGTTGGAAATGGTTGTTGTTGATGAGAAGGTATACTATCTATGTTACTTTTGAGATTTTGTACTAATCTATATATTTCACGACTGTTTTCATTTATTTTCATTTTTATTCAAACCTATGTATCTTTAAAGTATGCATATTCTTTTATATATACACAGAATCAAACCATGCATGTAACTTTGAAGAAGGAGTTCATCAAGAAAAATGAAAATCTGTTAGAGGAAGGTGCCTCTAGAATTATCACAAATTTTCAAGTGGCTCATAACGGTGGTAAGTTCAGGACCAGCCCTCACGTTTACAAAATCCTTTTCGCATCAACTACATCTGTCAAACCGGCAGAAGAAATGGATCCAAGAATCTTAGGTTTCAAGTTCGTCAAGTTTAGTGATATTCACGAAGGCAAAATGAATCCAGATTTCTTGATAGGCAAGTTTGTTTAATTACTAAATTATTTATTTGATATATAGTTTGTTTCCATAATTATAAAGTACTAACATGATTTCTTTTACTTTAGATGCTATTGGACAAATTGTGAGTATTGGGGATGTGGAGATCTTGAATGTTGGAAAAAGACAGACAAAGAGGCTTTCTATGGAGATCCGTGATACATAGTTAGCATTTACATTACTAATCTATCACTAATGCTCTATATATTTACTATTTGTGTATATTATCCTTTTTCCTCAATTTCCTTTATCATTTCCAATGTAGACATGTTCGACTTAATTGTGTTCTTTGGGGTCAATTCGCTGAAAATCTTGAAAGTGTGGCTCAACATGCAAATGATGCTGTGATTGTTGCTGTTTTGCGGTTTGGAAAGTTAAAACTTTATCAAGGTGTTTGGAGTGTTGGCAATTGCTACAACTGTTCAATGGTCATTATTGATCCAGTCTTCCCAGAGAGTTTGGCTTTTAAAGAGAGGTAAAACTAATTATATCCATAATTTTATTTATTTATCAAGTTTTATATTCTAAATACTATGTAATCTAATTTAAACAGATTGCCAAAAGATAGTTTTACCCTGACCTATACCTATCCAAATCAGTTGACTATTGTCAATTCTGTATCAGTAAGGGACGATTTCTTCTTGCATAGTCCTCGAAAGACTATTAGCGAGATTATTGCTGCTTCTGAGGTAATTACATATTATGTCAGTTGAATTTTTATAACATATATTTGATTCTAATATCATTATTAATTTTTCAAGGTTGTCAAATGTGTTACAATGGCCACAATTATGTCGATTGACACTGAGTTTGGTTGGTATTACATGTCGTGTGGAGCCTGTTCTAAAAAGGTTCTCCCTCATGATATGGATTACTTAAAAGAACTGTATCCTGGGAAAACATTTAAGAAACAATTGTGGCAGTGCAAAAAATGCAATGAGGATGTTGAGAATGTTTATCCATCGTAAGTCTGTTATTGTATTTGTGTTATAGTAAAGTTTTAACCTTTTATTAATTTTAACTTATACTATTTCAAATTATGATAGGTTTATGTTGACTTTCCGTGTCATGGATAATACTGGAGAAACTAAATTCCTCTTATTTGACCAAGAGGCAAAAGAAGTTGTAAACCAAACTGCTGCTCAGTTAACTCAGTCTGTTAATGAGGTTCATATTTCTACTGCATTTGTCCATGACAGTATTTTATTTGATCTATTTAAAATTTATTAAATTCCTATTTGTTTAGATTCAGGATCCTGATGTCTTGCCCTTAGCTTTGAGCAATATTTGTGGTAAAAAATTTCTATTCAAGATTGCAATTGCAAGCTCAAATGTTGTTTTCAATAGTGACACATACAAGGTCATTAGTATAATTACACAAAGTGATGTGGTTAAGGAGTTTTCTGAAATCTCTACTCCTCAGGTACAGTTATAACATTTTGATATCACTTATTCTGTATAAACTAATTCTTTATTGCTTACCATACATTACTTTCACATTTCATAGAGCACTCCAAGTATCAAGATAGAGGAAAAAGCTCACAATGCTCTTGATGAAAAGGTATATTTATTTATTCTGATTTCTTACATTCATGTTTACTATTATAAACAAATTGCTTTCATTCTTACAGAATATTTAATATGTTATAGGTTCCTTTAATGATTATGGATGATGATGATGCTGAAATTACACCTACTTCTAAACGCAAAAGCAATGAAAAGTTGGAAGTGATTAAGGATACTGATGAGTATTCAGCTGCAAAGAAGAAGTTTAAGGATGAGAAAACTGTTCAGACTAATCAAAGTACTCTACAGCTTAAGACCGTGAAAACAGAGAAGCCATGATTTAAGAACCGAAATCAGTTATTGGAACTACTTTGTGATGCGTTTTTCCGTCTGTAGTATTGTTTCATTTATCGTTATTTTTTATTGAACTTTGCTTCTTGATTGAAATTTTGTAATCGGATGATTATTTTTTAAGAATATTTTGATTTCGTTCATTACTGTTATTATTTTGTTAATGTATGAAGTCTTTTAATAATTTCATAATTTTTCTTTAAACATTGTATGATCATCATTCAAATGATATCACTTATATATTAAATACTATACAAACATCATTAGCTTATAATCAAATTTTAATGTATTCTATATTATTTATTTCTAAATGGAAATTTCCTAAATTTGTAACAAATTATATATACTTATACGAATATATACATCCAAAAATACCTATAACTACTAACCGAAAACAAAGTCATCAATGGATAATATATTAAAACTTATATCTTTTAACAGTATTACTTACTTTACTTAACTATATTTATCCTTTTAAGTTTGGCAATTTGTAACTAAATTGATTCTTTCTCTCAATTTATTATCTATATTTATGGATTTAGATATATGAATTTTAAATGTAGAATATTTGTTCTCCTAATCATAAGGGATCACATTTAGTTTGAATGTTATAACAAATAACTATTAATTCATATAAATTGATTCTTTCTCTATATTTATTATCTATATTTGTGGATTTAGATATATGAATTTAAATGTAGAATATTTGTTTTCCTATTCATAAGGGATCACCTTTAATTTGAATTTTATAACAAACAACTACTATTTCATATAAATAAACTTTTCCGCTTCATCGCGTTCTTCGTGTTAACATTTACCTCTATTTTAATGTATGTTCACCTTCTTATGCAATGCATAGTTCAAAGAAAAATCGGCATGTATACAAAAATTATGAGAACCAAACTACTAAAAAACAGAAGATCGCATCTACCAGTCAATCACAATCAGCAAAACCTATTTCTGGTGCTTTTGATATGATTTTTAGAGATTTAAGCAATTCAAATGATTTTGTGAGGAGTTCAAGTCGGATTACATCAGACATATCTACTTCAAGTGAGTTTTTATTTATTTTTTGCTTTAATCTTAATTTTGTATACTTCACATTCTTTTAATAGTGTGTTGTTTTATTTATTTAATTACATAAATGAAATTCTTACAGATTTCAGCAATCCTGGTTGTTTATCTATACAGTCAAACACACCTCAAAATCAACAGTGTATGTGAACTATGTTATATTTTATAAATCGTTTTATGAATTATCTTATATATTTTATGTGTGTTCTACATTTTTCCTTCATGTAGCATTACCAAGTTCAGAAAAAGAAAACAGGCCACCTCTAAAGAGACCTTTGCAATGCTCACCATCTTCTGAAGAAACGGGTTACCTATATATCAACTACCATTTTTAATTCTTGCTTTTACATATATTAACCAAATTTGTTTACACATTCAATGTTAACATATATATTTGTTTTCAGGCCTTAGGTTTTGTCGAATTTTATCTGAAACTCAATTGTCACGGCCTATATTTGCAAAACGTAATACAACAATTCCTGATCTAAACCTAGCAAGCAATGATATTCATGGTACTGGTATCCAATCATCAAGTGATACTAATAGACAAGAAACCACTACCTCTAATATTACATATGCGACACCCCCATCGGTTGTTAGCAAAGCTCGAAGAATTACTAATTCACGGAGGCTAGATTCTGGTATTCCTAAATCTGTACTTTTACAGCCAAGTAAGAATAATTTCATTTACTAATAGTATAATGAATTTATAAATTTAATCTATTTAAATTGTTAACTCATTGTTTGTTTTTGAATTGTATTATCAGATAGGATCCTTACATCAATTGTTAGTAATATATCTGAATTGACAACCTCGAATCAAACGTATGCGACGCCACCATCTGTTGGTAGTAAGTCTCGAACAAATCCTTCTTCACAACCGCTTCATTCTGATCTTCCTAAACCAGTACATATCGGTCCCAGTAAGTTTTCTGATTTGTATTAATATCTAAATTATGTATATTAATTAAAATATAACATTTGTTTTAATTTAAAATGTATTGTTATATGTTTTCCCCAGAAAATACAAACAGGAATGCAACAAGCTCACACACTGTTGAAGGAATAGAGAAGTCATGTATCCTTATCCTATTCAAATTATAAGTTTTTTAACTTAGTTTTAAATTATCTTATCGTTGAATTCATATTAGTGTTATCTTAACTCTCAATCTAAGTCATTATGTGGTGGAACTCTTCTGTTGATAAAATCATTGATACACAAAGAAAAAATCAACTATCTAAATCTTTGTTCGAGATACAGCGAAAGGCTAGACATAACAGGACACGTTTAATGAAAGGGATTAAGTTTAACGAAAGGCCTAATGGAACTGATACTATAGCAGATGATTATGATCATGAACGTAAACCTGTTATATTGGAAAATGGTTATGTCTCTAACATTACACTTCTATCGATCCTTTTTCAGTTAGATTCTTATCAGGACTAAATTTTTAATTATGTCGAATGTTGTATTACCTCAGGATATTATGATGATGGAGATCCGATGTATGAATGCATACACTGCAAAGCAAAGATGTGGTTTAATGAACGAATTCAGAAAAAGAAGAAGAGTGCAACATATAAATTCACTATATGTTGTTTGCAGGGTAAAGTGAAGCTACCCTTACTTAACCAACCTCCTCCATTTTTGATATATCTCTTCTCGAGTGATGATGAAATTTGTCGCCATTTTCGTGAGAATATCAGAGCTTACAACATGATGTTTTCATTTACATCTATTGGTGGGAAGATAAATTACGATATAAACAAGGGTCGTGGTCCACCCGTATTCCAACTACATGGTGAAAATTATCACTTAATTGGTTCTTTGATTCCTAAGAGGAAAGAGAAACCAAAGTTCTGTCAGTTGTATATCCATGATACAGCTAATGAGATAACCAACAGAGAAATCAATCAGGTATACACTTTACACACTATTTTAATATCCATTAACATTATTTTTCTTCCTAGAATATATTTAATTATGCACTTTCTACTATTTCAGCAAGAATGTCTCTAACTCGACCAAGTTAAGGCCGGCATTAATTGAATGTCTCATGAAGATGTTAAACTTTTGTAATCCAATGGTGAAAGCTTTCCGTTCCTACAAAGACAGATACAATATTCAACAACCAGAAGACAACTTCAAGTTAGTTCTCATTGCTAACAGGAATAAAGAAGCTAGAACACATAACATGCCAACATCAACAGAAGTTGCAGCATTGATTCCGGGAGATTTTCAAGAAGGAATGGATTTACGAGATATTGTATTAGAGACTACACACGGAAACCTCAGAAGAAGTAGTGAACTCTATGTGGGTTATCTAGCTCTTTGGTATCCATTATTATTTCCATATGGTGAGGATGGATTCACCGTTGGAATTGAAGACGGTTTTGATGACGGCAACAAACGGAAACGCAAAACTATAAGCATGCGAGAATTCTATGCTTATAGGATTCAAGATAGGTTAATGGAATCTCAGTCCGTAATTCGGTCTAAACGATTGTATCAACAGTTTCTGGTTGATGTGTTTACTATGATAGAGTCTAGCCGACTTCGATATTTCAGGAAAAATCAGAAGAAGCTTCGTTCAGACAAGTATGTGAATCTGGTTGAGGCTGAAAAGGAAGGAAACTCTGATTTATCCAACAGAGGTAAGAGAATTTTGATACCTGCATCATTTACCGGTGGTTCACGCTATATGAACAATAACTATTTGGATGCAATGGCAATCTGTAAGCACTTTGGATTTCCTGATTTTTTTATAACTTTCACCTGCAATCCAAACTGGCCTGAGATAATTAGATATACAAAGAAGCGAAAGTTGAATCCTGAAGATAGACCAGATATCTTATGTAGGATATTCAAAATTAAGCTAGACAGCCTCATGAGTGATCTCACTGAAAAGAACATTTTCGGAAAAAGTGTTTGTGGTATGTTAAATTTATATTTGTAATATTTGTATTTATACTATGATTTATATTGTTATGGTAATTCTGATTGGTTTGTTTTATATTAACAGGTATGTATACTATTGAATTCCAAAAAAAGAGGACTTCCACATGCACATATTCTACTATGGATGGCTGAAAAAAACAAATTGTCTACTGCTGAATCTATTGATAAGGTTATTTCTGCTGAGATTCCTGACAAAGATACTGATCCTTCTTTGTATGAAGTAGTGAAGCAAAACATGATACATGGACCTTGCGGAGTGATTAACAAAAGTAGTCCATGTATGGTCAATGGGAAGTGTTCTAAGCTATTTCCAAAGAAATATTGTGAAAGAACTACCATTGACAACAGTGGCTTTCCACATTATATGAGAAGGAAGACTGGCGCATTTGTTGAGAAGAATGGTCTAAAAATTGACAACAGTTTTGTTGTGCCTTATAATAGAGAGCTATCATTGCGATATAGAGCTCACATCAATGTGGAATGGTGTACTCAGGCAAGGTCAATCAAATACCTCTTCAAATATATCAACAAAGGACCTGATCGTGTTCTAGCTACTATTGAAAATGATTTAAATAAAGGCGCAGATTCTGATGCATGCGCCAATGTAGATGAAAATGGCGAGGATACTACAGATGAAATTAAGGAGTTCTTCGATTGCAGGTAGTATTTAATTTGATAGAGATTGTAGGCTTGTTTTATAAGTTGTATTAGTTTTGATTACATACTAAATCTCTACTGTTCTATTGTTATGTAGATATGTTTCTTCATGTGAAGCTACATGGCGTTTGCTAGCATTTCTAATCCATTTTAGGACAACTCCAGTGGAGAAACTCTATTTTCATCTAGAAAACGAGCAATCAGTACTTTTTGACGATGATGATCCAGTTGAAACTGTTCTAAATCGCAGGTCAGTACAGAGCTCAATGTTATTAGCATTTTTTGAAGCTTGCAATAAGTATCCAGAAGCTGAAAACCTAACATATGCTGAGTTTCCTACAATGTTTGTTTATGATCGTACAAATATTGAATGGAAACCAAGGCAACAGAAAAGTAGGTTAGCTGTTGGTAGAATAACCTATGTACCTCTTAAATGTGGCCAATTGTACTATCTTTGTGTTCTACTCAACCGACACAAATGTCCTAAGGGGTTTGATGATTTGAAGACAGTTGATGGTGTTTTACATCCTACATACAAAGATGCATGTTATGCATTGGGTTTACTAGATGATGATAGAGAATATATAGATGGGATTAATGAAGCAAGCATGTGGGGTTCTGGTGACTTCCTTCGAAAGCTGTTCTGTGTTATGCTATTGACTGATAGCCTAATTAATCCATTTGGAGTTTGGGAAGAAACTTGGAATTTGCTATCTGATGATATTCTTTACAGAAGAAGATCTATTGAAAACAATCCAGGTATTTCATTAATTTTTTAAAAACTGTCTATAACTATATATGTTATGTATACAATAATACTTTATGTTAATATGAAGTATTGGATTTCAATACATATGATGTGATCATTTCGTAGAACTGGACCTCTCTGATGAGCAGCTCAAAAATTACACATTGGATGCAATTGAGACTATACTGCGAAGCAATGGTTGTTCTCTTTCAAATTATGATGGAATGCCTTTGCCGGATGGAGATTACAACACAGCTGGTATCAATAGGTTAATATACGATGAAAGAAACTATGATAGATAAGAAATGAAGGCTATCGTAGAAAACATGCTTCCTGGTTTAACTGACGAGCAGATGAATGTCTATAAAGAGATCATGGAAGCTGTCACAGAAGATAAAGGAAGAGTATTTTTCTTATATGGGTTTGGTGGTACTGGAAAAACTCATTTATGGAAACTACTATCCGCTGCTGTTAGTGCTATAGGTGAAATCATTTTGAATGTTGCAAGTAGTGGAATGGCATCTTTGTTATTGCCTGGTGGTAGAACCGCACATTCCCGTTTTGGTATACCAATAAACCCAGATGATGACACTACTTGCAATATTCAACCTGGAACAGACTTAGGAAATTTGGTTGCTGAGTCATCTCTTATCATATGGGACGAGGCACCTATGATGAGTAGATATTGTTTTGAAAGTTTGGATCGTACTATGCGTGACATTATTAAGCGTCATAAGGAGAAACCATTTGGAGGAAAAGTTGTTGTGTTTGGTGGTGATTTTAGACAAATTTTGCCAGTTATCAGTGGTGGAGGAAGGGAAGACATTGTTATGGCTTCTATTAATTCGTCATATTTATGGGATGATTGTAAGGTGCTCAAGCTTACAAAAAACATGAGGCTTTTGGCTAATCTTGATGAAAGCGTAGCAGAGGAAATCAAATCATTTTCAGAATGGATTCTTAAAGTTGGCGATGGTAAAATTAATCTACCAAACACCGGAGAAGTTATGATCGACATTCCTGATGAGCTTCTAATAAAAGAATGTGATGATCCCATTCAATCTATTGTCGAGGAAGTTTATGGTTTAAGTTTTGAAGAGCAATCCGATCCTCACTTTTATGAAGAAAGGGCTATTTTGTGTCCAACTAATGACGATGTTTGCCTCATCAACGATTACATGCTTTCTATGTTGACAGGTAAACACAATTACTATTGTTTATCGTTTAATTCATTTAGTTTTTAAGTTTAGTTATCATATTTATATACTATACTGATATATCTATAATTTTTTATTATCAAGGTGAGGAGAAGACTTATATAAGTTCTGATTCTATAGATCCATCTGATACATCTAACCAGGATAGCAGAGTATATACTCCTGACTTTTTGAATAATATAAAGTTGTCTGGTCTTCCTAATCATTCTTTGAGATTAAGAGTAGGAACACCAGTTATGCTATTAAGGAATATAGATCCAAAGGCTGGTTTGTGCAATGGTACAAGGCTACAAATCACCCAATTAGCTGATCATATCATCGAAGCTATTGTTTTAACTGGTGACACTCATGGTCAGAAAGTTTACATTCCAAGGTTGAATGTCGCACCTCCTGAAGGAAAATTTCCATTCAGAATGCGAAGAAGACAATTTTCTTTGGCAATTGCCTTTGCTATGACCATAAATAAAAGTCAGGATCAGACACTTTCAAGCGTCGGTTTATATCTGCCAAAGCCTGTTTTCTCTCATGGCCAGTTATATGTTGCTCTATCTAGAGTAAAATCAAAGGATGGGTTAAAGGTGCTTATTATTGACAAAGATGGTAAACCTCAGAAACAAACAATGAACGTTGTATTCAGAGAAGTGTTCCTGAAGATATAGTTTCAACATTACAGGTAAGTTATAACTTGAACATTATCTTAATTTGCTTAGTATGATTTTTTTTAACGTCTGTTATGGATTTGTAATGTATTCAGGAAGTTGCAAGTAATGCTATTGATGTCGTGTTCGTGCAAATGATCCTGATATGTTCTGTTGTCAGCAATTTGGTATATTATTTGATAATTATTATATATTCCCCCTAATACATTCACTTATTTTGTATTGGTTACTCAATTTGGATGTATGATTTTTTTCAGACAGCTCATATGTTACTTTGATATATATCGTCGTATAATTTGTTTATATAGTGGTTAATGTTGTGAAAACTTAGAAACTTTATTAATCACTGGAATGTATATATAGAGTACATAGGGAATCTAGGTTAAGTACAATGCCCTGATGGGCCTAATGGGCCGGTATAAGAGTCCATATATGATATGTGTTATAACACTCCCCCTTGGACGAGTGAACCGGGTCAGCTACTCAATCGGGATCTCGATAATGCGCTGGGGAATGTTGCCTCATTAAAACCTTACCAGGAAAAACCCAGTGGGACAAAACCATGGTGAAGGAAAAAGAGTACAACACGCATTACTCCCCCTGATTGTAGCATCACTGCAGATCTCTAAGTCTATACATTCCTATCTGTTTGACGAGCTTCCGGTGTGTTGAAGTAGGCAATGATTTGGTGAAGAGGTCAGCTGAATTCTCACTGGATCGGACCTGCTGAACGCTGAGAGTGCCGTCCTTCTGCCAGTCTGAGGTTGAGAAGAACTTCGGTAGAATGTGCTTCGTCCGATCTCCTTTGATATATCCTTCCTTGAGCTGAGCTATGCATGCCGCGTTGTCTTCATACATCACCGTGGGCTGTGTGTCTTCGTCCATACCACAATCTCTGCGGATGTGCTGAGTCATGGAGCGCAGCCAGACGCATTCCCTACTAGCCTCATGAATGGCTAGGATTTCAGCATGGTTTGATGAAGTGGCAGTGAGTGTCTGCTTCATTGATCTCCAAGAGATGGCTGTTCCTCCATGCGTAAAAACGTAGCCAGTTTGAGACTTGGCAGTGTGCGGATCTGATAGATATCCTGCATCAGCGAAGCCGACTAACCCATCTTTATTTTGGTTAGTATAGAAGAGTCCTAAGTCTTGAGTACCTCGAAGGTATCTTAGGAGATGTTTTATACCGTTCCAGTGCCTCTGAGTTGGAGATGAACTATATCGAGCGAGGAGGTTCACGGCGAAACATATGTCTGGTCTAGTGTGACTAGCCAGGTACATTAACGCTCCTACAGCACTGAGGTATGGCTTTTCAGGACCAAGGATTTCTTCATCATCCTTTTTGGGACCAAGAGGGTCATCACTTAAGCTTCTAACTACCATTGGGCTGGTCAATGGGTGAGCTTGGTCCATATTAAATCGCTTGAGTACCTTTTCGATATAAGCCGATTGATGCACAAGGATTCCTCCTTTGATGTACTCAAGTTGTAATCCCAAACAGTACTTTGTTTTGCCTAGGTCTTTCATTTTGAATTCTGCTTTTAAGCAGTCGACTGTTTGGGAGATCTCACCAAATGTTCCGAGGATGTTTAGATCATCCACGTATACTGCTATGATTACAAATCCTTTGTTTGAGTACTTCTTGATGAAGATGCATGGACTGATGGGGTCATTTTTGTAGCCTTCTTTGATGAGGTAATCGCTGAGGCGGTTGTACCACATACGCCCACTTTGTTTTAGTCCATACAAGGATTTGTTCAGCATGATGCAGTATTGATCTCGAGATGCATTTTTGTCTTTTAGTTCAATGCCATCTGGGAGTCTCATATATATTTCGTTGTCCAGGGGCCCATAGAGATATGCGGTTACAACATCCATTAACCGCAGATCAAGATTTTCTCTTATGGCCAGACTTATGAGGAATCGGAATGTTGTTGCATCCACCACTGGAGAATAAGTCTCCTCATAATCGATTCCGGGTCTCTGTGAGAATCCTTGTGCTACAAGCCGTGCTTTGTATCGAACGACTTCACCGAGTTCGTTCCTTTTGCGCACAAAGACCCATTTGTGGCCCACTGGCTTGATGTGTGATGGGGTCCGGATGATCGGACCGAACACGTTTCTGAGTTTGAGACTCTTTAACTCCACGTTTATGGCTTCTTTCCATTTTAGCCAATCTGTTCGATGTGTACACTGTGTTATTGACGTGGGTTCTAGATCCTCTTGCGTGAGCGCAACATCAAGTGCTACTTTGTATGCAAAGAGTGCATTTAAGTCGACTTCTTTTCGATTCCATTGTATTCCGGACATATTGTAATTGATGGAGATCTCATTGTTATCTTCTGAACCTGGAGATTCGGCGTCCCGAACTTCCATTGAGGGTTCATTAGATTGAGTCTCAGCCGCGGCTATGTCTGATATTGCAGGAATCCCGGTTTCGGTTATTGCACCTTTCTTTGATTTCCGGGGATTCTTATCTTTGGAACCGAGAGGTCTGCCCCGTTTGAGACGTGGTGCAGACTCTGTAGCAACTTGGGTCTGTCCCGTTGGGACAGCTATTCGTACTGGTGCATTACAAGCTGGGATGTACGATTTGGTTACTTTGGTCGGGTCAGCAAAGGAATCTGGCAATTGATTAGCTAGCTTTTGATAATGAATAATCTTTTGGATCTCTGAATCACATTCTAGAGTCCGAGGATCTTGCCAATTTAATGATGTTTGATTCCATGAAAGATCTTTGACCAGCTTGTTTGTCTCACCACCTAAAGAGGGATATACCGATTCATCGAATTGGCAATCCGCATATCTGGCCTTGAAGAGATCTCCAGTGGTTGGCTCGAGATATCTTATGATGGTGGGAGAGTCAAAACCAACATATATTCCCATCCTTCTTTGAGGTCCCATTTTGGTTCGATGTGGTGGAGCAATGGGTACATATACTGAACACCCAAATGTTTTGAGATGGGAGATGTCTGGCTCATGACCCGAGAGTAGTTGGGATGGGGAATATTTGTGTTCACTAGATGGCCGGATGCGTATGATTTCAGCAGCATGTAATACTGCATGTCCCCATGCTGAGGCCGGGAGCTTTGATCTCATGAGTAATGGTCGGGCTATCCATTGAATGCGTTTAATGAATGATTCAGCCAATCCATTTTGAGTATGGACATGTGCTACAGGATGTTCCACGGTTACCCCCATGGCCATACAGTAGTCATTAAACGCTTGTGAGGTAAATTCACCAGCATTGTCAAGGCGGATAGTCTTTAGTGGGAAGTCAGGGAAATGGGCCTGCAATTTTATGATTTGGGCCAAGAACCTAGCGAAGGCTTGGTTCCGAGAGGACAAAAGACAAACATATGACCAACGGGTCGATGCGTCTATAAGGACCATGAAGTACCGGAATGGTCCGGAAGATGGATGTATAGGTCCACAGATATCGCCCTGGATTCTTTCTAGGAAATGAAGTGTTTGTTTAGAGATTTTAACTGGTGAGGGCCGAGTGATCAATTTGCCTTGAAAACAAGCTGTGCACATGAGGTGTTGAGGATAAGCTCGGTTTTCTTTGAGGGTATGCCCTTGAGAGTTTTGAATTAGTTTACGCATCATATTTGCACCGGGATGACCGAGCCGGTCGTGCCAAATAGTATAATCAGTAAACCGGGCTTTGAGAGTGGTATTAGCTTCAATCATACTGACTTTAGCATGGTAAAGTCCAGTAGAGAGCGCGGGTATGGTTTCGAGGATTTGTTTATGGCCGTCTACGGTTTTAGTGACTAGGAGGGATTCTTTGTTCCCTTGACCTTGGGTTTCTATGTGGAAACCATTCTGTCTTATATCCTTGAAGCTCAGAAGATTTCTCTTCGAACTAGGAGAATATAGAGCATCTGGTATTTCAAGTTGTGTGCCATTTGATAGCAACACATAGGCATGGCCATATCCTTCGATAAGGTTTGAGGGACCCGCGATGGTGCTAATATTTGCGGTTTGATAGGTTAGGTTTATGAAGTAACTTTTGTTTCTTAAGATAGTGTGGCTGGATCCACTATCTACGACTATGGTTTCCATTTGCTGGTGTGCTTTATTATGAATAGAAGATAGAATTCAGTATTGAGGAATTCAGAAAAAGTGATAAATCATAAAGTAAAGCAGTGTCTGAGAATAAAGGCAAATGGAAAAAAAATGAAACAAATCCCAAAATGAAAAAAATAAAGAACAAAATCAAATTGTATCAGAGTTTCAGATGATTGAATTAATCGAGGAGATCAGCTGTTTCATAGTCCATGGGGTCGGTCTGCTCGTTTGTGGTGTTCTCATCATCAAGGAGGTCTTCACCTTCCAGGTTAGCAGCATCGACTGGCTGAGTCATGTTGGCTTCAGCAGGAGCTTTTCCGTACTTCTGGTATAGATCGCAGTGGATCTTGGGGGTGCGACATTGCTTTGTTGGGTGGTTGAACATCCCACATCTGGTACAAGCAGAGTGATTGGGGTTGGTGTGGCGGGTCGGCTTGGTGATGCCTCGACCACGACCAGGACCATAACTGAGGTTAGGTCGGTTGCCACGACCATGTCCGCGTCCACGTCTTCCACGTCCATGTCCTCGGCCATTACCACGTCCATTACCACGTCCACGGCGGTGATCTGAGGATCTATCGGGTTGAACATGGTAGGACTCTTGACGAGAAGCTGGGACAGGAGCCGATCCCAGGGGCCTCATAGCGCTGTTCCTCATAAGCAGCTGGTTATTCTTCTCAGCGAGGAGAAGACAGGACAACAAGTCTTCGTACAATGTGTGTTTCATTGCACGGTATTGTTGTTGGAGCACAACATTCTCTGTGCTGAATGTGGATAATGTTTTCTCGAGGAGATCATTATCTGTCACATCCTCGCCACAGAGTTTCCGGATGGCAACAATACGAAAGAGTTCGTTGTTGTAATCATCTACGGATTTGTAGTCCTGGAACCGAAGGTTCTTCCAGTCAAAATCTGCCTGAGGCAACTGGACCATTTTCTGATGGTCATATCGCTTTTTCAGCGCTTGCCACAATTCAAGTGGATTCTCAAGAGTGAGATATTGCTGCTTAAGGCTCGGGGCCAGATGATGGCGTATGTGACATATCGCCTGAGACTGTCCCTTACGGGATGCGGTGTTACCGTCGGTAATACACGCATCGAGTTCTTTCGATGCAAGGAACAAGCGCATGTCTAGGGCCCACTCGAGGTAGTTATCCCCGGAGACGTGAAGGGCCTCGAATTCACATTTCTGAATGTTTGACATCTGAAACATGAGATTGATTTTGTTAGGGATTGTTTTGAGAAAATTTTGAATGCTGATGATGAAACTTTCTATTTTGAGAATATTTCTATTTTAGGAAAGTTTCTAAATTTGGAAAGTTTCTAATTTGGGTAATTTTCTAAATGAGGAAAGTTTCTATGTCGGGAAAATTTCTATATGAGGAAAGTTTTTATATGAGGAAACTTTCTATTAGAGGGAACTTTCTCGGAAATAGTAAATTTTAAAGGGTATGGTTTTAGTTACCCCGAACATGATGTCAGTTTAATAGCTGTGATTTAATCGGTTAAAGCCGAATATAATTTCGGTTAATGAGAACCAGGTTTAGCCGGTTTTAGGCGGTTTAGGAGGAACCCTAGGGGAGCCGAATATGATTAGGGTTTTATCTAGGGTTTTAACGGTTTGGAAAACATATTTTGGATGTGATTTCGAGATCTATAGGATCTGTGGTCGATGGTTTTAATAATTTCACAAGGACAACAAAGAAATCACGTGAAAAGGACTAGGGTTTAAGCATTATGACTTACGATTTTGAAGATTACAAAATCGTGAATCAAGCTTAGGATTTAGGGTTGATTTTCTTAGTTTATTCAATCAAGTGTTTCAAGCAAGAGAATCAACAATCAAATAAGCTGCAACAAGCTTATTAAACATGAAGAAAATCGAATAGGTTTATGCCATAAACATGGCCAAAAACGGTTGTTAGGTTTTTGTAGATTAGGGTTTTATAAAACGAGTTTAAAACCTTTGAACATGCATAAACTTGTAATTTAAACAATCAATCAACAAGTTATCAATCAATCATCAGAGTATCAAACACTTTCAATCAATTAGAGATCGATTTTTTTTTTTTTTTTTTTTATAGGGTTTTGAAGTGTTTAAACAACAGGTTCTATGGCTCTCAGTTTTAGAAGATACCTTTTCCACCTTTGGATTTCTGACAGGCTAATGAAACTGGGAGCTAATAGACCTCAGTTAGCCGCTACAAATTCCAAGGATTGATCACCAAAACTGGAGAAGCTGCTGGTTGAAGAAGGAAAAACTCGGATCTGGTTTTTTTTTTTTTGGTTGATCGTCGTGTACTGTAAGTGTGCGTGAGGGCGCGTCCGACGTTGGATCGACAAACGGTTTTCACCAGTAGATTCGTCTCGTCGAGGGCTTCGATTTGATATGTAGATCGTCTTCTGGTTCCTCACGGTTTGGAAGATATGCGTCTTTTAAGTTTCGACTTGCTTTTAGGGTTTTGGTGATGGCCGGATTTATTAGGGTTTTTCGCTCAGAGAGTCTTATCGTGCTGATAACGTGTTGTGAAAACTTAGAAACTTTATTAATCACTGGAATGTATATATAGAGTACATAGGGAATCTAGGTTAAGTACAATGCCCTGATGGGCCTAATGGGCCGGTATAAGAGTCCATATATGATATGTGTTATAACAGTAGGTTACTTATTTACGTTATATGTAATTGAGTTTTTGACAGACTAATATCCTGATCACTTCATATCAGCCTCATATGTAAACAAACATAAATTAATCAAAGTTAGTCAAGTACATTATTTATACATTAATTAAAAACAGTTTATATTATGTTTATTAATTAATATGAATAATTAAAAATATTTTTGAATTATATTTATGGTTATTTTAGATTCCAATATATATTGCACGAAGATATCGACTATGTATATCCCGAATATATCTCTATTAGTTAGTTTCCCTTATACATATTATATATTATTTACTTGAATACCCTATCAAAGAAGTTATCCCTTATATAAATACTCTGTTGTGTAAAATTTGTCAGCCATTTGCAAGAACTTCGATATATAATACCGTCATGATTTCTACTTACGATTCTATATCTGATTTAAATTCGTCTACTACTGATTGGAAAATTAGGGTTAAAATTACTAAGAAGTGGAAACAATATACTCCACATCGAGGAACTACTCTTAATATGAAACTATATGACGAAGAGGTAAAGTGTAGAATTCATTACATTCAATTTCAGTTTTTTACATAATGAATACTTTGAAAAACCTGTACTTTTCTTTATTTTACAGGGTCATACAATTTGTGCTACAGTTTACAGAAAATACATGCAATTCTTTGAGAATAGTATTGTAGAAAACTCATGGTTTGTCCCGTTAATGCTGAATACATTAACACAACATCCCTTTTCAATATTCAGTTCATAATTTCTACAACTATCACTCCTATCAGACATGTCGAAGGTATTTAAATTATATTTATTTAATACTATTGTTTCATACCATGCATGTTACTGAAATATCAGAACTCTATTGATGCAGTTTGTAAAACCAGTCTCCAAGGAATTAGATGTATCTACCATTAGTAATGATAGTAAGTATTGTGTGTATTCAGTTATTATAATAGAAATTTTTATATTGTTTCGAACTCAGTATTTTTTTGCTTACTCACTATTGTTTTTTTATTTGACAGCATTTATAATAACTGCAAGTGGTTATAATCGAGCACAAGCACAAATCAACCTATTATTTCCCATAAGCACTTTTAAATTTTTTAGACTATTATATTGTTCTTTATTAAAATTCCAATTTGTGAGGAGGATAATAAATTAAATTTTGTTTGACATAAGTACCTTTTCTGTTTTTAATATTACGCATGTTTTATAATAATCTCCAAACTATGCAATTACCAAAATATAGACATTTCGATAATCAGATTTACATTATTCAAGCGTAATATATATTCTTTATATAATCGGTGATGCTTTTTCCTTTTGTAACACTGTAACACTTATGTACATATTTGATCAATATCAAATATTCTCTGCTGCTTTATAATTGATTTGAAAATACAATGACACAAAACTGTTTTCCTTTTATGTTTTCAATACATATATTGAGTGGCTGTGTAAGTTCCTTTTTCGATATGATAAAATATACTGTTTATATCGATGACATATTTGGATGTTTTGAATAAACTAATATATCTTAAATTTGAATAGAAATCTGAAGACATTATTGTTTCGTAGATAAGAGAGATCTCATTACCCATTTTTTCAAACTTTTAGTTACTATTTTCTAGAACCAAAAAAGCTCTCTCGCATATACTTCAATGGAAGACTATGACCTAATTTCAGATCTGCATTGTGACCAAACAAATTGGACTATAAGATGCAAAGTTTTGAAGAAATGGCATGTCAAATATCCAAGAGAACGTCCATCTTTACAGTTTCTGTTGATGGATGAAGAGGTATTTAGTTTGTATTTAATCACTTATCTTTTAAACTTTATGTTATACTATATTTAACAAGGTTTTTGTATTATATAAATTACTAATACATACAGGGTGAAACTATTCAAGCTTATCTCTATATTACCGATTTAATTAAATCATTCGACAAGACAATTGAAGAGGGTGAATGGAAATGTTTTTCTGAATTCGTGGTCTTTGATGATACATCGGATGAACCAAATTCTCCTATTGGTAGTTGTATCCGGTTTATAAATAACACAGAATTAGAAGACATAGATCCTGTCGGTGTTGAAATTGTACAAGATTTTGTTTCATTTTCTGATGTGCATGGTGATAAAACAGAGCCTGGTCTTCCTAGAGGTATATTTATGCCTTTACTTAGTAATCTTATTTTAGACTAAAGTTTCATTTATTTATAAAGTTCAATTGATTGGAATGTGTTGTTTGCACTTTGAAAATTGTATTTTTCAGATATTCACGGTTTTGTTATCAGTATTGATCCTCTGGTCACTGTAAATGATAATTCCTACCCTGAGAGACATGATAAGAAGACTACCAGTATATCATTCACTTTGAAGGATTACAAGTAAACTCAATTTTTTCTTTTTCATTTTACCATTTTCTCTATCTGATTAAATATTCTGTTTATTTGTTCATATTAAAATTTGAAATTTCTATGTAGGGGGTTATTGTTATCGTGTGTTGCATTAGGACCACTTGCACTTGATTTTAATGACAAGATTTTCAGTGAGGAACAATTACCATTTGATGTTATGTTAACCGACTGGTCTGTTAAACAAGGAGAAGGTTAGTTTTTGTATATCAATAATATTGATTAATTATTTAATGTTGTATAGTTTTGAATATGAAAATAATAAATCTATTATTTTCCTAGATGGATACTATCTTCGGTCTAGAGGAGGGATTTCTAGAATCGAGTTTCATCCTGACTGTCCGAAAGCTAAAACTTTGGTTAAAAGGTAAATTGTTATAGGCAGTCACATTATAATTTAATAAAATATGTAGCTTTTTGAATTATTGCTTACATGAATTTATTTATCTGCAGGTTTTGGAATAACCAAAATAAACCTACCAATGTCATTGATTTGGGTAGTAACGATGATGAGGCAAGTCCATCTTCCGTGAAGAGTAGAGACTGATTGAATTCAAAATTTATTATCTTTCTATAATTCTATACTTTTGAATTATGGTATTGGTTTCTATGTTTTTATCTACAATGAATATTATGTGTTGTTTTAAATATTGGATATTCGTACTTTTTATGACTTTACTATGAGATATGTAGTAACCATATTTTATCTATTATGTTTAAAATGTGTGATTTTTTATTACTACATGTTTTCAAATATGATATTGAATCTTAAATATACTGGTTTAACGTTCAGTTAAACTTACTATAGAGTCGTAATTGCATATGTATTCGTATTATAATGTTTGGAAAAATCAAGAATGCAAAATCACGCTTAGAAAATTTCAAGTCAAAGCTTCTATTTAAAAATTTAGTAACAACTACTTTAATATCGTTTGGTAGTTGGTTTGTTGCTGAATACTTAAATTTATGACCTGTGCATGCAAAGTTAAGATATTGAATTGATTTGATCGATATCTGATTGCAGCTTTTATTAAGTGCTATTTTCATACATATATATTTTTGCATGTATATATTTAGATTGAGGAAACTTTACAAACATAAATATCACTTTTCAAAGTTCATATCTATGTATACTTATACAGTAATTACATCTGCCTTTTAACTAAATCTAATATATTAATTACTAATACTATAATATATGGTTTATAAGTATTGTAGGAAATAAAAATATTCGCCACATTTATAATTTTATATCCCTTGGATTCGCAACATATAGTTTATGAAGTGTACAAACATGAATAAATATGGTAGTTGAAAGTTCGCATATATATTCATGTGATTTGATAGGAGTATACTTATATCTTTACATCTGTAACTTCCTTTTTATGCACTCGGAATATAAACAGAGACATCTACTGACATCTTACACCGATTGAAATATATTCGATGAACTTATTCCTTTTTTAACAAATTAAATGAACCATTTTTGTATTTACTACACTTAAATGTTTACAAACAATCGCGACTTTAGAGTAGTTAACCGTCTATGTCTTATATATATACAAGGAACTATTTTCTTCCATAACTTCATCCTGCACAAAGAGAAAACCTAGAAATTAAACATCAATATCTCTGAGTAAAAAAGATGGCCGAATATCAAATGGTTAGTGATTTAACACCATGGGAGGAATACAAGCAAACCATCAAAGTGAAAGTTCTCAAGCGTTGGGAGACTGTTGATTCAAACGAGAATGATGGGATGTATTTCATCCTGGTTGATGAAAGTGTAAGTTTTGTGTTTTCAAAATAAGTTATTTATTTTTGCAAAGCCTTTTTGTTGTGTATTTTTAAATTTTTATTTTTTTACTCTAGGGTTCTCGAGTTGCTGCTACCGTTGATGAAACGCAACTCTCATATTTTCAACATGTCTTTCAAGAAGGAGTTTGGGTTCGGATTTCCCAGTTTGGCTTGGCTAATTCCGGGTGGAATGATAGATCCACTAAACATGCTTACAAAATCATCCTCTCTCAGAAAACAAAGGTGAATTCTATCAGGCCATTAACGGACGATCCTTTCATCAGTTTCGTTGATTTTGCAAGTGTTCTCAACCGTCCTTATTCTCACTATTATCCGATCGGTTAGTCTCTTTACCTATTATTTGCAATTTTTATAAAATGCAATTTTTGCATAGTGGTTTGCATGTATGCGTAAAATGTTTATGTTAAGTAAAAATGGACATGCAATAATTTATCTGTTTAAAATACAGATTTGCTTGGTGTTTTCGACAAGAATATCAGAGATATTGTTAAAGTTGTTGGTAACGATGGGAAAACGGTTTCAACTCTGCATTTTCGTATCACTGATATCGAGTAATGACATTCTTACGTTAATTTTTTTTTTTTTAAAATGTCTTTTAGTATTAATTTTTTTTCCATTTTTAGGGGTAATACACTTAAGTGTGTTGCACATGGTGATTTGGCCTATTATATAAAGGAAAAATCTAACGGTGAGGTACTGAATGGACCAACTCCCATATGTGCATTGACTGATTGGATGGTGAAGAAAAGCTTAAGTAAGTAATATCATATAGTTAGCTTTGTTTTTGTACCATATATTATAATGGATTGGATATAATTGTAATATGATGAATTTTTGTTTATATAGATGAAATTATTATCAATGATTATGAAGGAGGAAAGCTATCACGTTTCTTGGTTCATCCACCACTCGATGAAGTTTACAATCTACGGGCTAAGTAATAATTTTATTTTGTTACTTATTACATGTATAAATCGTTTGATTGATATACTTATTCTTAGATATGTTTTATTTATCTTTTTTTTTTCAGGATGTGGGTAAAGGTGAGGGATTCGGCCCACAATGCTTCATCTTCTGGATCAAGAAATGCTTAATTCGGCCCATCTCAATCTTATCTTAATATCTATCTTTTTTTAAAGACTTTTAATTAAAGGAGTGATGTCCTCCTATGTTATTGCATGTTAAGACTTGAATTTATTTTTGATTTCGTTTAATTTTCAATATTTTCTGTTATCTTTTTAATTTATGTTTTTAAATCTATTTTATTTTGAAATAATTGTTGCATGTTTTAATCAGATTTTAAATTATACTAGACAAATTAAACTAATTAACTTAAACAATTAGTTATCATGATTGTTATTTAACTTAAATCTTTTTACATTTATTTAACTTAAACAAATGAAACTAATTAACGTAAATCTGTTTACATTGAGATTTTATCAGTATCACACATTGATCAATTACCTTTTTATTCTGACTATATTAAATATATTTTATGTTATCATGATTATTATAATTTATAAAATATTACAATTTATGGAACTAAATGATCTTATAAAACGAATACTATCATTCATTTTTAAATTTACTTAATTAACAACTTGCTAATTAAATTTTATTTTAGTAGTAACGAAGTAACCACAAAAAATAATAAATAAGTGAGTTAATAATGAATGTATATTAAAATGTTTTGTTAAATAATATATGGAGATATTTGTTCTTATTTGTTCTTACTTGCTATATATCCAATTCTTTGACTCCTTATATTTCAGGATTTGGAAAATATAATGACTAGATTTCTGGAAGAATTTATATATGATAGCAATATTTTTAGAAACTTTATGTTTAGGGTTCAGCATTCCTTAAATTAATCATTGTTAATATTTGATTGCATATTCTATAATTATATTTCGTTAGTTACGCGAGATAACACATATAATGAATATATACGTAACAAATCATTTTTAAAAAAGATTACGAATACGACTTCCATATATTTGTCATATTAATTATTTGAAGTTGCACAAAATATACGTTATATTTAATTCTATAATCTGTTAAATGTATCGTAACAACTTATACCAAACTATGGAACTATTCAGAAACAATATAGATAATCGCTATTTATGCCATCTAAAATATAACTAACAAGATACATATTCCTAAAATCACTGACTGTTGCAAATTTTTTAAAAATTCTTCGTATATTACACAAATATTTTTGGGACGTCATATCCTTAATTTACTAACATACTCCTATATAAACCTTTGCCGGAAAACGTTTTATACATCTTTAATCTGAAACTCAAAGAAAAAGGCTGAATACCAAATGGTGCATGAGTTATAAGCTTGGGAGGATGGTTGGACAATTACTTATTTGAAGTTGCACAAAATATAAATTAATATTTAATTCTATAATCTGTTAAATGTATCGTAACAACTTCAACCAAACTATGGAAATATTCAGAAACAATATAGATAATCGCTATTTATGCCATCTAAAAAATAATTAACAAGATACATATTCCTAAAATCACTGACTTTTGCAAATTTTTGAAAAATTGTTCGTATATACGCAAATATTTTTGGGACGTCATATCCTTAATTTACTAACATACTCCTATATAAACCTTTGCTGCAAACCGTTTTATACATCTTTAATCGGAAACTCAAAGAAAATGGCTGAATACCAAATGGTGCATGAGTTACAAGCTTGGGAGGATGGTTGGACAATTAAGGTGAAGATTTTAAAGAGATGGGGGGGGGGCCTTTGATGCTGACGGTCTTCGTGTGATGAATTTCATATTGGTTGATGAGAATGTAAGTTTGATACTCATCTCTATCAATGTTTTATATTATTAGTACGTTATATCGTTTTGCTACTAATGTTTTATATCATTTACCCTAACAGGGTTGCAGAATTTCTGCCTACGTTGGTAACCTCAATCTATCATATTTTGAATACGTTTTGCAAGAAGGAAATTGGGTGCAGTTATCCAAATTCAAACTAATTCCTTCTAAGTGGGAAGAACGCACTACAAGACACATTAAGCAAATTATTTTAGATGGTGAAACTAAGGTCAGTTCCATCCGACCTTTGACTGGAGATCCTTTCCTTCGAATTGTTGATTTCAGCCGTGTTTACAATAAGCCTTACAGCCACTTCTACCCAGTTGGTAAGTATTAACATTTATCTTTATTAATTATGTATTTAACTATGTTAGTGTTATCGATTATAGTATTGTATGATTGATTGTGTAATATTGATCAGTTGTTGTACTACAATATTTTTTAATCCAGATTTGATTGGTGTTCTGGATCATGTTGAAAATATGGTAACTGTTGTTTATCCCGATGACAAAAGTGTTCCAACACTGAGATTCCGAATTAAAGATCTGGAGTAAGTAATATAATGGTTTCATGTTTTTATATCATTACTTGAGATACAATATAATCATAATAATTATAATGTGTAGGAATTGTACTCTTAACTGTGTTGCACATGATGACTTGGCTTACGAGATTGAAGGGAAATGCAAAGGTCCTGTAGGGAAGAGTCCATTTGCTATTTGTGTCTTAACTGATTGGTTGGTTAAGAAAAACATTGGTGCGTTTATATGACTTCCATATTTATAAGACAACTTTATACACAGTCAAAACTTGATGACCTTATCTTATTTATATTAGATGATATGACAATTGAAAATTACAAGGAGGGATCGCTTTCAC